GCTCGCTGCAAAAATATGAAGGACCCATCTACGGGTTTGATAATCAGCCCGTCCCGGTGGAAGGGGTCATAACTCTACCCATCTATGTGGGCTCAGAGCCGCGCTTCAGGATGGCTTCGGTCAGCTTTTTGGTCGTCAAAATGGAGTCAGCATTCAACGCCATATTAGGAAGGGCTACTCTATGCGAGCTGAAGGCTGTTATTTCACAACCCCATCTATGCATGAAATTCCCAACGCCTCAAGGGGTAGGGGTGCTAAAGGGGAATCAGAGAATGGCCAGGGCATGTTATCAGGATACGTTTAAGAAGGTTGAGCTCGCTGTAGCCCCTGGAAGCTCCGAAACTGGTAGACCGACTCAGCCCGGCCAGCAGACAATGAGCATATCGGACATTGAGCATAGACCTGAGGGCGTTGAACAGAAAGCAGAGCCAGTAGAGCCAGTAGAAACTGTTCCTCTAAATCCTGATGTGCCGGAAAGAACAGTCAAGATCGGCACCAAGCTCACAAAGGAAAAACGAGTAGAGCTCCTGGAGTTTTTGAGGGTCAATCAAGATGTGTTCGCGTGGACTACTGATGAAATGCCTGGTGTCCCAGCAGAGCTGACGGTCCACAAGCTCAGCACGGACCCCACGCGAAGGCCGGTGGTACAGAAACGTCGCCTTTTTGGCCCCGAGAAGCAAGCTGCCATAGATGAAGAGATACAAAAGCTGTTACAAGCAGGCTTCATCAGGAGAGTGGAGTACTCTAAATGGGTGTCCAACCCTGTACTCGTCAAAAAGCCAAATGGCAAGTGGAGGATGTGTATTGACTTCACCAACCTCAATGATGCGTGTCCAAAAGACCCTCATCCCTTGCCAAACGTTGAGAAGTTAGTGGAGCGGGCAGCTGGGCATGAATGGATGAGTTTTCTTGACGCCAGCTCGGGCTATCACCAGGTTCAGTTGCTGTTGGACGACCAGGAGAAAACAGCTTTCTACGCGGGGGACGCTATCTATTGCTATGTGATGATGCCATTCGGCTTGAAAAATGCTGGCGCTACATACCAGAAGCTGGTACAAATCGTCTTCAAGCTCCAGATTGGCAGAAACATAGAAGTGTATGTGGATGACATGATAGTCACCAGCGTACGAGCTGAGGACCATATAGACGATCTGAGCGAGACCTTTCAGAATTTGCGCCGAGCCCAAATGAAGCTGAACCCTCTGAAGTGCACGTTCGCTGTAGAATCAGGAAAATTCCTAGGATACGTGGTATCCAAGAAAGGAATTGAAGTGAACCCAGAGAAAGTTCTGGCCGTTCAACAGATGGAGCCTCCCAAGACTGTAAAGGA